AAAAGCTTTAGGGTTTAAGGTTTTTTTAAAGTGTTTAGGGTTTAAGGTTTAGGGTTTAGGGCTTAGGGCTTAGGGTTTAGGGCTTAGGGCTTAGGGTTTCGGGTTTAGGGTTTAGGAGTTTGGGGGTATACGTTAAAAGCTTTAGGGTTTAAGGTTTTTTCAAAGTGTTTAGGGTTTAAGGTTTAGGGTTTAGGGCTTAGGGCTTAGGGCTTAGGGTTTAGGGTTTAGGGTTTAGGAGTTTAGGGGTATAAATTAAAAGCTTTAGGGTTTAAGGTTTTTTAAAAGTGTTAAGGGTTTAAGGTTTAGGGTTTAGGGCTTAAGGCTTTGGGTTTAGGGTTTAGGGTTTAGGGTTTAGGAGTTTAGGGGTATAAGTTAAAAGCTTTAGGGTTTAAGGTTTTTTTAAAGTGTTTAGGGTTTAAGGTTTAGGGTTTAGGGCTTAGGGCTTAGGGCTTAGGGTTTAGGGTTTAGGGTTTAGGGTTTAGGAGTTTAGTGGTATAAGTTAAAAGCTTTAGGGTTTAAGGTTTTTTAATGTGTTTAGGGTTTAAGGTTTAGGTTTTAGGGCTTAGGGCTTGGGGTTTAGGGATATACGCTCAAAGCTTTAGGGTTTAAGGTTTAGGGCTTAAGGCTTGGGGTTAGAAGTTATAAGCTTTAGGGTTTAGGGCTCAGGGTTTCGGGGCTTAGGGGGCTTGTTTAGAAAGTTAGGGCTGCCTTCTTTGGGGTCCCAACAGGAAGCCCTAAGGGGTCGGGGTCGAGGGCGAGCTTCCGGTGCTTTCCCCGCCCTAAAAGCACTTTGCAGCCTTTAGGGCATCCGGAGAGTAGTCGCTTCTCTGGAGGTCCTGGATCCAGACCTTGCAGAAGTCCCCTTTGCTCGTCTTTGGGGCACTTGTCAAGGACCTTAATTTCAGCTACTACAAGAAGTATCTAGAGAGATAGCAGGGCTTCACTATTAAAGTCCATCGCAAGAGCCTTTAAGGAGCTTCCGGTTTGAAAGGGTTTTGGGTTGCAGGTGTTTCGTTCAGGCAGGATAACCTTGGAGGGAGACTGGCAACAAGCAGCAGCAGCAGCAGCAGCCGCAGCAGCAGCAGCAGCGGCAGCAGCAGCAGCAGCAGCAGCCAGAGGGGCATGCACAGCAACGACAATCAAGGCTGAAAAACCTAAACCCATACACTTCCAGTTACTTTCATCATCCTCAACACGACAGCAAATCCTCGCTGCGTGGTTGAAACCGTTCGCCTGGCCCCATTCGGCGAATTCGCAGCTGCCTCTAAGACCCCCTGAACAAAAGCAGCAGCCGGCACGAATTGACCGAAAGCACCAGCAGCCGAGAATACAAACACAAAGAAGCCATCCAATCCAAGAACAATACTAGATTACTAGATGCTCCCGAAGCCACCCGCATCATGTCAAGGGTCACAACACATGGATCAACAAACATGAACCTCGGAATCGCAAAAGCCCACGACACACCTCTAGGAAAGTCACAGCATGCCACTGTTGGTTTGTAAAACGGGAGACGGCCTGTCGTCAAAAGGAGACAACACCTTGCTTGTTCATCTGAGTGCTTACTGTGATGCGGCAAAAAAACACATACCTGGCGCGCTCAAGCCTTCCATCTTCAGCTAAAGCCTTCCATCTTCAGCTTCATGGGGTTTAGGGTTTAGGGTTTAGGGTGTAGGGTTTAGGGTTTGAAGATGTTGCAGAAAACCTTGCAGTGTAGCCTGTGACCCCTCATGCCTGGACCCTACAGCAGGGTGCAGCTTTGGAGTAAAACCCGAAACCCTTAAAGAAACCTGAATCTGAAACATGAAAGCCACTGGAGTGCCCGGCTGGGGGCGGAATGCGCTGGAAGGGGCCTGAGTAGCTCCTGGGAGTTACGCTTTAGGGTTTAGGGCTTAGGGGTCAGAATTTAGGGTTTGGGGTTGACTAGGCTTGGCCTGAAGCTTCGCTGTTGAAGGCACAAAAACCTATGGAACCTCAGCAAACCCGATGAAACACCAAAGAACCCCGTGAAAAAAAGCTCTCTTGACTTGTTGCGGCCTTCAGGGTTAGGGTTTAGCGGTTTTTTTAAGATTCATGACAAACGCCCTCTGCGTCCAGCACATGGCGGCTTGTGCGTTGTTGGGGTTCATGTTGCAGGTGCAAAAATGCATAAATCAGCCCTAAACCCTGAACCCTAAACCCTAAACCCTAAACCCTAAACTCTAAACCCTAAACCCTAAACCCTAAACCCTAAATAACCCAAACCCTGAACCTTCAGGGTTCCCGAGGTCAACAGCTAACTGTGAGGCTCTGTGGGTCCCAAAACTAAACCTTGTAGCCACAACCTAGGCGAGCCACCGGTTTAGGCTTTAGGGTTTAGGGTTTAGGGTTTAGGGTTTAGGGTTTAGAGTTTAGGGTTTAGGGTTTAGGGTTTAGGGTTTAGGGTTTAGGGGCATTGTCATAGTTCGAGCCTCGACTCGCGCAATGGTTTTCTACAAGGCCACGGTTTAGCATTTACTGCGCTGTGCAGGATTCGGTACACACAGCTCCTTCAAAAAGATCTAAATGATCTCGATGCATGGACAACTTGCCAATACCAAAGCAAAGAGAAAAGACATGCTTTGAGGTTGAACACGCTCAAAACCTAAACCCTGAACCCTAAAGCACCCTAATCAACCCTCAACCCTAAACCCTAAAGCACCCTAATCAACCCTAAGCCCTAAACCCTAAACCACCCTAATCAACCCTGAACTCTAAACGCTAAAGCACCCTAATCAACCCTAAGCCCTAAACCCTAAAGCACCCTAATCAACCCTAAGCCCTAAACACTAAAGCACCCTAATCAACCCTAAATCCTAAAGTACCCCTACGTAATCAACCCTGATCAACCCTGAACCCTTAACGCACCCTATATCCTGGGGGTGCAGAACTACCTGAGCTCACCACGCGTCTCGTCGGCCGGCCCAGCCTTCGTCGTGGCCCATGGCGGCTGCGATGCAGACTTTTCTTTCCGTGCAGCTTTAGGGCTTTTCCTGCTTAGGGTTTCGGGAGTAGGGTTGAGGGTTTAGGGCTTAGGGCTTTTGTTGTTAAGGGTTTAGGGATGAGGGTTACGTATATGTGCGCTATCAGCTACCGTATACAGTTGACGCATGTTAGCCTACGACTCGAACACGAAAACCGTTAGTTTGAGGACTGAAGGGCTGAAAAGCGCAAGGTTTGCTTTGTAGTTTTATCTTGGGTCTCTTGCATCCAAATGTCCTGAGCATGCAGGCATCTTCGTATCTCGGCAGCATGTTAACTTCCTGCAGCATGTGAAGTTCCTTGGAACACCATGCATCCAGCTCGGCTTGGGCTTTCACGCTGTGGATGAACCAAAGTCCGTGAAACACAACACTGGCTCGCCAATCTTGGCGAGCCACGTGAACTTGCAAGGGGGCAAACGACGACATGTGCACTACAGACTCAATGTCATGCCACGAATCGCCGTTCAGTAGCTCTCGGTGACCTTGCACAATGGCTGTTGCGGGCCCCCCCCGTCAAAGTAAACACGGCTTAGCATTGTCATCTCAAAACGAAATCCCAAAGCAGCACTACATGAGTTCGCCACACCTGGTCGGCCGGCCAAGCTCTTCGTCGCGGCCCATGGCGCGAGAGTGAGTTTCATGTTTGCTGCACGAAAAAGCTCAAACACTACTAGTCTTGAGTGTTGTCTTGCTGAACAACTGAAAGCTCAGAGTCTTGAATCAAAGGCTTCGATCGTCATGAGCATGTGAGCATCTTAGTTCTCGGCAAGATGTTCAAGTGTTCCAACGGAACACAGCCGGTCGATTGCTGCCTGTGTTTTCATGCCACGGATGTGCGGATGACTTGGCAAGGGTGCGGGATCCTACTACGGCCTTCCACTGGTCGAAGCCCGGGCCTTGACCTTTAAGGTCCGCGAAATGGATACTGGGCGGCTTCATTCTTCTGCGGATGCCCCCATCCTTTCACGAAGGCTTGCCTGATCATAGTAAGGTATGGAACTGTATTGATCATGTAGTTTTTAATAAGGTACTATGACATATTCCAATGTAATTTGCACCAACTTGCCAGGGAGGTTGCCTTGATTCCAGGCCTAAAACGGAGGGCCCCCCGTTCGGCCCCAATCTCAAACAGAACACGTCCCCACGTGCAAACCGGAAGAAGACACAAGCAGCGATTGCTGCATTTGCGTCGTAGCACGCAAGTTTAGGAAGAGAGAAACGCGGCTGCTCGGCGGCTCAGCGGATCTCGGTGACCTTGCAAGGCGTGAATGGGCGGCCCGCAGTGGTGTCAGCGCTGCCGCCTGCTGGGGGGGATTTTTTCGTCACGCTCCCATCGTCTTTGTAGACGACGATGGTCTTGTCACTCGTCATGGTGCCAGCTCTCACATGCGCGACATGCGCGATGGAGAAATGCTTTCCATCGACGTCTCCGAGTCGGAAATGGCCAATCTGCACGAAGCGGTCGCCAAATGTGATGCCCTTGGGCGGGCCGTAGCCGCGATCGAACAAGCCGCCCCACTCGGCGTGTAGGAGCTCACCGACGCCATTGTCCGAAAGGCCAAATGCCAAGATTGAGAAGTGTCCTCCATGGAAGTGCTGGTGCGATATGGTGAGGTAGTGCTGGGTCAACAAACCAGCGGGCACGGTGTGCTCGCCAATGCGAAAGCCATTCAGCTCGATAAAGCGATCGCCAAATCCTACATTGGTGGCCGCGCGAGCCTCAAGGCCCCAAGTGCTAAAGCCGGTCCCTCCTGACGCAGTGACGCCATCGTTTCGCACGATCCTGGGTTCCCCAGTAAACCCTTAACCATAAGGGTATCCTTTTTCCTACTATTTGCTTTTAATAAGGGAACTCAAAAAGAGCTAAACCCTAAACCCTAAACCCCAAACCCTAAACCCTACACCCCAAACCCTAAACCCTAAACCCTAAACCCCAAACGCTAAACCCTAAACCCTAAACCCCTAGCACTACTGGGGAACCAAGGATCTGCGCGGTTTTCCCCAGCCGGTGGGAGAAGGAGAAGTGCACCAGGTCGGCCGTTCCGAGGCGCCAGTCCCCGAGCTGCAGGAAGCCATCACCTAAAGAACGACACAAGGTTGTATAATACAGTATCGTATATAGTATATAGTATATTGTATATTGTAGATGGTAGATAGTATATGGTTTATGGCATGGTATAAAAGAGTATAGTATAGCAAGGCTTTCTTTGGGAGAGCTCGGAGACTTGCGCGGCTGCTGAATGTTGCCGATACACTGCATAAAAAACAACCCCCTCCGTGGGCCCCCACCTGCAGTGATCCCAGGACAGGTGCCGGTGGTGCTCTGGATGGCGCCGCAATGCGATTGCGTCGGTCGGTCGGTCACCTGATACCCCCATCCGGCAACTTCTCCAAACCTGGGTTCTCATTAGGGAGTATAGTTTAGGGTTTAGGGTTTAGGGTTTAGGGTTTAAGTTTAGGGAGTATAGTTTAAGCTACCATGCTATCTACAGTAAATAGTGGGGTCTGCTCATCATGGTAACCTGAACTAACTTCCTTAACAAGAGCCCGGAAACATATGACCATCCGACCTGTAGATTCGAATTGTCCGGCTCGTGGAAGGCGAGGTGTCGGTGCTGTGGGTGACCAGCAAGTGACCCCCGTCCGCGTCTCCCAGTCTGAAGTTGCCGATCTGGAGGAAGTGCTTCCCATATCGAACTCCAGCTGCAGGCCCAGCAACATCTTGTTCCCTGGACTTCCAGGCATTCCAGTCGGTCCTCGGCCCGGGATGGAGGGTGGCGTCGTTCTTGAAGATCTGCGCAGTATTCCCAGAGCTGTGGGAGACGGTCAGGTGGTTGTCGTCCATCGCTGCCAGGCGAAAGTTGCCAATCTGCACAAAGTTCTTCCCGAAGGTAATGCCGTGAGGGAAGCCGACGGGCCTGTCCCACGAACTGAAGTCCGTTCTAGGTCCTGGGTGCAGAGTCCCGTCGAACCTGAAGATCTGGGCCGTCCAGCCATCACGGTGGGAGATGCTGAAGTGGTCGGCATCAATGGCCGCCAGGCGCCAATCACCCAGCATGACAAAGCGATCGCCCCAGGCTCCAAAGCTCCGATCGCAGGCGCCGAAGGCGATATCACCAATCTGGGGGCACGGCCACTTATGTGGAGGACGGCCGGCAAAGCTTTGGCGAAGAACTGGTTCGTTGTCGAAAAACCTCTTAAGAGTACCATCGCTGCTCAACTTCTCAATGATCCTGTTCGGGTAGGTGTCGTCGGCGTTAAGAATCACCAGACAATCGCCATTGTATCCGATGCGGAACTTGCCAATTTGGAGATACCTGCGCGCTTGTGTGGTGTGCTTGCGAAGAGTGAACCCAACCTCCGAAATTGCTGAAAGGCCTCGCCCTCTTGGGTCTGGGGCGTGCTTCAAGAAAAGCGGGTGTGCCTGGGACCTCTTGCGTGCCCGCTAAACCCTAAACCCCCAAAACCCTCATACGGCTTTGGGGTTTAGGGTTTAGGGTTTCGAGGCTTAGGTTTTAGGTTTTTCGAAGCTTTGCAGCCGGGGTGCGCCCATCCGACGCTGATGCCTGTCGGGGGCCCCTCCGCGCGGTCCCTCAGAGTCCGATCCTTGTCCCGGGAGGGGGCCGGACAAAAAATGGGCTGCGTGGAGTTTAGTGTTTGAGGGGCCTGGTGATTTTGGCTGAGTCTTACCTTATGGACTCTATGGCAACATACAAAGTCATGATGTACCTGCCAGGTGTCTGCTGTGTCCCAAGTGGATCCGTCGTGCTTCCACTCCCGAAGGACCCCCTTTGTAGTGGCGTCCATGTGCCTCAGCCGACGAGGAAGGTGGCATTTTCAGGAAAAGAGCACTTCAATGCATCGCAGCCCTTGTGAATGCACCGCAGCGAGTGTACAGGTTGCCTGCCCTTTGCGGGCCCCTACAAGCTTTCATGAAGAGCCTTGCAGCCACGGCTACGAAACCATGAGGCACCAGTCGTCCGCACCCAAGCGGAAGTTCCCAATCTGGATGAACTGGAAACCCATCTTCACGCTGCCTTTCACGTGCTCGATTCCTTTGGGCCTCCCGGCAGCATTCGTGAACTCCGAAAAATCCCACTACTGGACCACAGCCCACTCTACTCCCTGGTCCACGCCTGCCCCAGGCCTCGTTCCTGAAGTTGGCATCGAGGAGCAGATGCGCATGCTCGTTGGCGCGAGACCAGGTTTTGCCCAGAATCATGATTGCCTTGGGGTTATCCTGGTCAGATGCTCTGCAGGCCAGTTCGGGCGTTAAACTCGAAGGCAGCGATTGGGGCTCTTGGCTTTGGGGCAGCTGCACTGGACCTACACCCCGGAGAAGAACCGAGGTCCTGGTGCGTGATCGTGAGGTGGGTCCCATCGTGGTCAGCAATGCGGAAGCTACCGATCTCAAGGAAGCGGTCTCCGAAGGCAAGATGCGTTCCGCGATGGTTGCACTGCTGCTCTGCAACACTCTGCCCCGCCGTGGTGGTCGAGGTCGTGGAGACTTCCGGCGGCATCTCCTGGGGTTCTTTCTCGGGAAGTTAGCTGCTTAACTTACCACAACAAGGAAACCCTGTTATTTATGTAGATCCCTGACATGGGTAACTTCAGTTAAACTCCCCAACAAGAACCCAGGCTCCATGACGCCAGGCTCTGTCAGAGCTAAAAGTCCAGCGCCGCTGCAACCAATCTCCTCTGCACAGGGAGACTGCTCGAAGCCGTCCGTCTTCCACGGCTCCTCGCAGAACAGCTTGTCCCTAAACCCTAAACCCTAAACCCTAAACCCCTTCCACGGCTCCTCGCAGAACAGCTTGTCCGAGCTCAAAAGCTCGACCATCTGCAACTGCCAAGGGAGCTGCAGCGCTGTAAGAGCGCTCGCCAGAAGAGTCGCGACTTTGCTGGCAATTCTCTGGGCCAATGCGTCTGCACCTGGCACGCAGTTCGCGACCTGGCTGGCGCCGGGACCGAAGGCCTTCTCGGCGCCTTCCTTGATAGCCTCTGCCAGCAGTGCCTTGACCATGTCACCGTCCAGGAGGTCCTCCAAGGGAGGAGGTAGAGCGAAGCCGGTGATGCCCAGGTCCGCGTAAATGCTCAGGACCTCATCGAGGCGGCGTGGGAGGCATAACAGCGGATCTATGCCCAGCACACAGGGAGTAGCCGGATGATCAACAGATCACCCTTCCCTGAACTAAGCAAGCTCGAGCGACGGCAGGATCCATGTGCCTGGGGTCCCGGCTGCCGCATGGCACATGTTGAGCGGAGCTTTGAATGCACTGTCCTGCCGGATCGCACATGCCACGACGAGGCTGACTGGTGCTGCAATCGTTTGTCAGGCCAGGGCGGTCCAGCCCGCTGCGGCGGCGACGATCCCCGCCGCCTTGGGGATACTCGATCCTGCCCACGGCCTCTGCGTGCGCATGGACCTGGGGGAAGAAGGTCACCGGAAGACCCGGCGTGGGCCAGACCTCATTCTCTCGGCATATCGGCACAGCATCGGATGGCCACTGCAGGACACAGTCTGTTATAGTACGTATACTACAGTATTTATGCTATATGGGTGGTTGTCAAAATTATGGTCCGTTTTTGGGTCCTTATTATAATACGGCACCTATTATTTAGGGTACCCCAAAAGGGACCATAATTTTGACAACTACCCATATGGAATTATAACACTTCTCAAAAATCAAAAGGCTGAGCGGCCACAAACTTTGGCCCCACACTCACGCGCAAAGAAGCGGTTGCCTCCGCCGCGGCTTTGATGCCTTCCTGCTTTCGGCACAAAGGCCCTAAACCCGAAACCCTACGCCCTAAACCCGAACCTCTAAAACCTACACCCGAAACCCTAACTCCTACACCCTAAACCCAAACCCCAAAACCCTAAACCCTAAACCCTAAACCCTAAACCCTGAACCCTAAGCCCAGAGCGAGACGCGGCTGGCCTTGTAGTTGACGTCAGTGATATCAGCATAGACCAGAGATTCCTGATTCGCGTCGGTGTTCATCACGCCTCTGCCTGACACAAAGGCAGCTTCGGATGTAGGGTTTAGGGTTTAGGGTTTAGGGTTTGGGGTTTAGGGTTTGGGGTTTAGGGTTTAGGGGTTTAGGGTTTGGGGTTTAGGGTTTGGGTAGAGGGTTTTAGGGTTTACGGTTTAGGGTTTAGGCAGCCGACTCACTCACCGAGCTAGCACTGAAGCTTTTGCTCACAGGCCTTTCACGAAGAAGTCCACGTCGTAGGATTGAGTGACCGTTCCTGTAAGGGTGCCCTCCAGCTTCAGCGTCGCAAGCATCTGCATTGCCAAGATGATGCCTTGGAAGTTACAGGGATTGTTGCAGTCCGAGTATCATGCAACAAGGAGGAAAAAGGGTGCCTAGGCTCAAGAAAGCCAGGATGCACACACCCTTAGCGCAAATCATCTTCTTCTTGGGCTGCTTGGGAAAACCCCTCTGAGCTTCATATGAGCAAGTGCCTTCTCCCTTCACCCAGGCTTCCACCGATGCACGTACCCAGCCTTCGACAAAGGCCTCTGTCTTGACGGTGGTCCCGCTCACCTCTGACTTCACCTCGATGAGGTTTGGGTTGAACGTCACGACGGCATCGATGGCCACTTCCAAATCCCCTTCACAGGATCCGCTCGGCTGCGGTGTCGCAAGGGCCTGGGTTGCCATACATTTCCTTCCAAAACGAGGCCGGGACGAGTCTAAAACCAACATCGTCAATCATCACGAACACATAAACCTACGCCTTGACAATGTGAACTCTAAGAAGATCTGAGCTTCTTCCATTGCTTCCTTGGGGCTGGTCCTGATTTGTTTGCTTGTGTCCGTAGCAGTGGCCTCCATCGTGGAGACGTCACTGTAAGAAATTTCCTCCTGGGCGGTTCTGAAAATTTAGAGGTGCCGTCTTGAGGGTCCTTATCACGAGAATCCTACTGTATCCTACTATCCAGGGTCTACATTAGCACCCTGAACCGTAACCGCCCTACCCTAAACCCTCAACCCTCATTATAGTCGAGTGTATTATTGTTTCATTATGGTATAGCATATTATATTATGGTATAACTTAGTACATCATATTATATCATAGTAGCATACTACAGTGTATTGTAGAGGTATGACCCCTGTTTCGGCCCCACGAGTTTCGGGATCTCGCCTCGGTTCCTGGCAAGGCCACTCCTCCCGTCGGGGAGGCCTCGTTGCTGCCTGAAGAAGAGGCTTTCAATCGAAACCTGGGCGCTTGCTTCGTTGGGTTTATGGGGCTTAGGGCTTTTAGGGTTTTGGGTTTTAAATTTAATGCACTTAGCTTACATCACCAAAGGACGTAAAGCAAATTATGTATGTGTTGTGGCGTTACTCCCGCAAGGTGAAACAAGTTCCTAAACACGAATCCAGCAAACCCCTTGGCAAACTCGGAAGTCTTGCTCGGAACGCACTTCATGTCCACGCCAAGTCCGCTGGCTGGCGAGCCAATGGCCTTTAGGTGGCTCTTTGGCTCGCCATTTTCAAGACTGCAGTCACATTGCTCGCCAAGCACTGCCTTGAGGTACTTATAAGGGTACTATAAGGGTACTTATGAGGGTACTTATAAGGGTCCTATAAGTCTATAAAGGTACTTATATTGCGAAGGAGTGCCTTGCACCGTTTTTCCTTGTCGGTTGACGCGTGATCAGCAATGCAGTTCACGAAGCTCTCGACCGCATTCGCTACCTGGCATGCGAGTATGCCATTAAAAACGCATCCATTTGAAGCCCCGAAATTCCCAACAAAAAACTTGGGGCTCAAAACCCTCACAGGTGATTCAGGTTCTCCATTACGGTGCGGGGACTCGGGGACTAGCCACCTGGTTGGCGATCTCCTTGGCTTTGTTGTAGACTTCCGTCGCTGCAGCCAAGAGGTGCGAAGCCAACTTGAAATGTGCCTCGACTGTTGTTCGGGCCACCCCCTGCAGAGCATTGCCCACGTGCAAGACTTCGTCCCCGAGTTCGTTGGCTAAGTCCTTCAGCTCCGAATCCAGATTGTCGAATCCTGGCTTCTTGCTAGGGAGGTTAAATTAAGTTACCATGGGCAAGTAACAGGGTCTCCTGCTCATGGTAACTTCAACCAACGTCCTTAACAAGAGCCCAGAATCTCATCTGTGGAGCTTTGATGACGCGGTTCCCGACTGCGGAGAAGACATTGCCGGCGGCGGTGCCCAGAGTTTGGCCTCGGGCGTAATTCAGAAAGGGGTTCAGGGTTTAGGGTTTGGGGTTTAGGGCTTAGGGTTTAGGGTTTGGGGTTTAGGGTTTAGGGCTTAGGGTTTAGGGTTTAGGTTCAGAAAAGCAGAGAGAGGCATTCTGAGGCCCCGGGCCCAATAACAATAACAATAATCATACTAGTAAGTAACAAGAATATGAATGATAGAAACAATAACAATAATAACAATACGTCTAACAAGAACAAATTTATGTACTAATAACAAGATTCAATATAGTCACTAATATAGTAATAATAGTAATACCCCGTGCGGCCATGCAGCCCGCATCGCTGACTGCCTGGGCCAAGTCAGAGAAGGTTCCCACAATGGCGGCAGCGGCTTTTCCACTTGCCACAGTATCGAGGGACGCGTCGGAAGCATTCACGCGCTCCCCCATGGACGTTTTCGAGGAGCGAGTGATCAAGGCATCGTGAACGTGCGTGACCATAGACGCGTTGGAGCGCTCGGCCGAGTCTGTGGCTGACTCCGAAATCGCAACATCGGACTCCTGCACCGGATCAAGGACAGCCAATAGCAGACACACCGTGCAAGGCAAGAAACTGCGGCAGCTCTCGACAAGCGGGTGGCAGCATATGGCATATGCACACGCAAGAAGTGGAGGGATACAAAACTACCAAACCACGCAGCTGCACCTGCGTGAACTTCATTGCAACAACCACGGGCAGCATGGCCCTGGAAATTCAGGGAACTTGATTCCGTGACTCCGCAAGAATCGGCAAGAAAACTGATGCAACAATGGATCTGAGCCCGACACACTAGCAAGGCCCATCGCAGTGGGGGCCACAGGGATTGCTTCATTGCTTTTTAAGAAAATATGGGAAACGGCTAGCTAGCAGAGCTACGAAAGCAGAGCCAAGCTTTGGAAGCACCAATGACCACAAGTTGGAGGACAAAGCTGTGCATACTTCCGGAGCGGTCCCGGGGTCCCCCTACTTAAAGTTTAAGGATCCACATGCAACCTTACTCCCCGGACGGCAAGTTGGAACCACTCTTGTCGACGCAATTTCGCCCGAGCGTCGTGTTGTCTCGGGTGCCGCTTTTCCGCTTGCCATCATCAACATATGGAAAAGGAACCAAAAAGATCCTGGCCAAAAAAAGAGAACGGTCACAAAAATGGGACGTCCTCTCTCCAACATTTGGATTGCAGATGTCCACTTGCTAGAGCTCAGTGCCACATTGACTTGTGTGGAAAATTGGCTCGGGGCGGTACAAGGTGGTTCTCTAGGTTGACATGCAACCACGTCAGCACGAAGGTAAAGGAAGTTTCTCTGGCCTCCTCGCAGTTGAAGATGGTCCCAAAATGTTATGTGGAAGAAGGAATATATCGAATCAGAAAAAACGTTTGGGAAAAACGCTGAATCACAGATTATATCAAAACAGATTGGCACTGTCATGCGAGAAGGAAGAAATCGAACCAGAAAACAACGTCTGGAAAAAAATCATTCCCACAAAAAGTCGAATCACTGCAATGGCTGGGTCCACCACGCTGCATGAGGGGGATTCAAAGGGGAGGGCTTGAAGCCATGTTAGATTGAATTGCTCTTTCACGCACATTGCAGGACGGACCACGGTGGCACACTGACCACATTGCACATCTGGGCTTGAGTGCTTTGAGAAGACTTCTGTCCGAGCGATGGCATCTACAAGCAGATTGCCACTGGGGAAGGTTCCCCCAGGTGAATGACTTCTCCGCGCAACAGGAAGACAACAGGAATTGTCAAGGCCATGATTTGATTTGTGGGTTCGCAAAACAACTGCATTACCTCCTTGCCAATTTGACGGACGACGCATCAAAGGCTGAATGTCAGGCAATGGTTTCGGGACATGGAGGCAATTGCACAAGTCTTTCATTGTTGTAACTAGCCATCAAATAACAAACACATTTGGGTCCCATTTGACCCTGGACATACGCTGCCTCCATAGCTGTTCCAGACGAGAGATGTAACATTGTCAAACAGAGATTCCCAAAAGCTTCAGAGCTGCGACCACCCGCAAAAAGCCAGCAGTCCTGGAAGAACAAGCATAAAAGCCACAAACACAGTTTTGCGTGATGATCTGTTTGTCATTTTTGATGAACAAAACAGAGAAGTACAATTGAAGCAACTTAAGATTGTAAGCGAACACCTTGAAGACGTTTGATTGGGTCTTGGTGCTTGTTAAAGTTGATTAGAGCAGGCATTTGGAAAGTGGCAAATTGCAGCATGATCCACAGGGTCCTGCCTTGATAGACATTGGTGCTGCATGGAAGGAAAACAGGAAAACAAAAAGAAAAAAGGAGGAAAGAAAGGAAAAGGTTTGCAAAGGCAAAGAAAAAGGAATTCTAAAAGGTAAAGAAAAAGTTTGAAAGGCAAAGGCACAGGAATAGAAGTGAAAAAACACCGATTCAATGCAGCTCAAACCCTTGCAAACACACGAAGTCTGGCCTTTACTGCACCAAAAAAACACAAGGAAATGCTTCTTCCCAGCGGACCCTGTGAGAGTTGCCACTTTTGAAAGACGATCCCACCAAAAAACCAAAGGTTTCAATGTTCCCAATCTTCATTCCATTCTATTTCTCCCACCGCCACAGGATGATCTGCCAATGTCTCGAAATCCACAAAACATCCATCACTCCTTTCTTTTTCTTTGGTTTGCCACGCAACTGCGGCTTCACGCCAACCAGAAAAACAACACCAGAACAATGATATTCACAAACGAACTTGCCAAATGCAACGGATGTGAACAAGTTCGCATTTACACGGACCAAGTCAATCCACTCGAGGTCCGATCGATATTCGAACGAAAGCTTAAGAGTTGTCACTTTCGCACACAAGAGTGCTACACGACAACAAGCGCTTGGGAAGATTTAGCAGAGATCCCTGATGTGAACACTTTTCCAACTGCTTTCACTTCGGTGGCG